TGGTTCATACTTTCTCCTCCATCAATTTGTTCTCCGTTGCAGCAAGGAGCTTAGGTTTATTGAGTTACACCCATCACAGTGCTCCCAAGGCACTCCCATTACTCTCGTTTGCCTTGCACGCAGCCAACATGGCCGACCCGAGTTCGATTCCTACGCCCCTCTCGGAGAGCCTGGCAAGCTACCGAGAGTATCTTGCCCGCACGGCAGAACCTGGCAAGCTCCCCGTGGCATATTCGATATGCCAAACACAGTAACAACAAAGTCTCCAATGGAAACGTTACTGGGCCCGCTCGAGCAAATTGATGATCAACGGGAGGGCCTTTACTTCGCGGGTTGGAGCGATAGCACAGTGGTAGGGTGTTTGCCTTGCACGCAGCCAACATGGCCAACCCGAGTTCAATTCCTCCGCCCCTCTCGGAGAGTCCGGCAAGCTACCGAGAGTATCTCGCCCGCACGGCAGAGCCTGGCAAGCTCCCCATGACGTATTCGATACGCCAAACATAGTAACAACAAAGTCTCCAATGGAGACGTTACTGTGCCCACTCGAGCAAATCGATGATCAAAGGGAGGGCCTTTACTTACTTTACTTAGTGAAACACCATGAGGTGCAGTTGTAGACTTACAAACTTTCATGCTTGGGTTTCAGTTATAAGATGATCGAGTACCTATCCCTCCACCAGTGCCTATTCTCCACCACCAATGATCCTAGTAGCCCTCCCACCTCCACACCCCATTCCCCCAACCCCACCCCACCTCTGTGGCAGGGCATTCCCTTTTGCTTACTCTCCTTTAGGGTGTTGTAGTTTGCAATAGAGGTTTTGAGTGGCCATCATGTTCGGACTATAGACTACTTTCAGCACACATCTCGCATGCCAAGTGAATCCTCCAAACATCCTTTACTTGGTGTTCCCTTCTCTATCTAAGCTGCCTTTCCCCCCAGAATGTGAGGCAAGCTTCCAAGCCCTGGAGCAGACCTCCTGGTACTTATCTTAATTATTCTTGGGTGTTCGACTCCCATTCTGTTACGTTATATTTCCCAGATGACTGCAGTCTATGTCTGTCCCTCTCTTTCTGGCTCATTTCAACTCTGTGTTTATCTTTAACTTCTCCTCTGTGCTCTGCTTCCCCTATCTGTTAATCACCTATATCCCAAAATCAGACCCTGTGACTCATAATGTCAGATCCTTCTGAGGATTCTGGATTTTGAATTTGTAAGTGAAATATTGCTTTTCTCTGTCCTTTATGTCCTTTGCAAAGTTTACTTTAAAGCAATGTCCTTTTTGTATAGATACAGGATGACAGTTAATGCTATGCTTTTAAAACTTGGGAGTTAAGTGACTCCGAATAATATTTAGTCCTGACATCTGTCATATTTACTTGATTTAAGCCTCAGTTGCCTTTAGTTCCTAGTACCCCAAAAGGAGGGTCCCGATCATGGGACTTGGATGGACACAGGGCAAACTGTAAGCTACCCTGGCAACAAAATGAGACAGGCCAAGAACCATAAAACTTATAATAAGTTAAGAACATGTTCATGGATAATTTCTGTCATGATCCAAAGAGAAACAACTGAATAAGGACCCTACTGGGATTAGGAAGGAGTAATCTGGCTTAAGAACTATAGTATGGGAATTATAGTGAGATATCCCCAGGAGAGCCACCCATTAAGCTTAATTAATATATCTCTTACTGTGCCCATACAAAATGACTATAAATATTGTTAAGAAATAAATTTAAGATGATTCTTTAAATGGTTATGGACTTAGGAAAGGAGAAATGATTTTATCTTTAGATGAAATTCGGCCCTTTAGTGGATCTCCTAGCAGGATGAGATCTTTGTTTTAGAAGAGCTATCCCAGAAGGATGGAAGGACCCGCTTTACATACGTTGCTTGTGCTATCTCACCTATGTGTGATTGCTACACCTTGGATGTGGGGCTCTTAACTAAGGCTGGGAGACAGGAATGGGGGCAGAGAGAGACTAGCATGAGGGAAAGTAGGAGATGGGAATGAGGGGCAGTGTGAGACTGAAATTGGGCACACGGTGAAACTGGAATAGGCATGCAGGGAGAACCGAGTAAATGGCAGAACTGAGATTGGAATAAATGGCAATTGATCACCAACCAGCTTGGTGGTTGGAGGTAACCTCCATGCATCTGTTGGCAGCAGCGGCCAGGCAGGGTGGGGAAGCGGTTCATGGCCACTGAACGCATGCAGCAAGAGCCCACACACTTTATTGAACAAAGAAAGGAGGACATATGGGCCATGGATGGGAAGGGATCAATGTGACCTCGGAAGTGGGAAGTGAACACTGGTGGAGTTAGAATATTGTAACATGAAACCCTACCATTAAGTCTAATAAAGTCAGAGCCTCAATGAAAACTGGGGGAAAATTAAAAGGGAGACTTTGTAAGTCTTTTCCTGCATGTGTTCCCTAATGATATAAAATGCAGGATTGGTAAAACTCTGCACAAAACTGGTATATCTTTGATATACCTGAAGAGACCCATAAAGCAGTCTCTCCTTCATTTTAGGATAAGTCCTATTCATCATTTTACATGCACACACTGGCTACCCAATTAGACACCCATATTTTGTTACTTTTCTTGGTGGCTTCATAGAAACACATAACTAAGTTCTGGGAAATGAAACATGAGCAGAAAAGAAAAACAAGCATAGAGATTTCATAATGCAACCCTAAGACAGGGCAAGTGCTATTCCTTTAGCTTTTCTGGGATGGATAGATGAATAATGGTGAGCAAATTTTACCATGGGAATAGAAATACCCAGACGACTACAGGAAAAAGAACTGAAACAGACCTAAGTCCTAAAGGAATTTCATGGAACAAAGCTATCTTACAAGCCAGAAAAACCTATTTTACATGAAAGAAACAAAACCCTCTATCTTTTCTAAGCCATAGAATTCTTGGTTTCATTTTTACTGCAGCCCAGTCTGTACCTACGGGCAAAGGCTGCCATTTGGTTTAAACTAAATAACATGGAAATGTAAATGTAATATTTGCTTGACGGAGGAGAAGAAAAAAACAAAAACAAAAACAACAAAAAAAAACACAAGACCAGTGGTACTTTCTACCCTCTGCACACTAGCTACATAAATAAATCTCACACCATGCATGATCCTGAATGAATAGATGGCATTCACTATCTTATCTCAAACATTAAATCTAGCCTGGGGACAAAAATAGCCATTAATATCTATCTGAAAAATAATTTGTAGCAACATTTGATAACGATCTGTGCTCTGCAATTGTCTGCCATAGGAGCAGGGTAAGGACTGGGATGGAAGTGGGGGGGATAATGGGGACATTGGTGGTGGAAAGTTTGCACTGGTGAGGGGGGATGGATGATTCATCATTGTATAGCTGAATCTCAAACATGAAAGCTTTGAAACTGTATCTCATGGTGGCACAATAAAAAATTTTAAAAATAAAAACAAAAAAAGAACAATTTGTGCTCTGAATCTATATTAAAAATATTGTTTTGGTTTCACTGTAGGATCTTTACTTCCTTGTTATTTGTTTGTTTTGCTTATGGGTGACACCTAGTGGTGCTCAAGGCATAGTCCTGACTCTGCTCAGGGACACACTCCTTCCAGGACTAGGAGCTCCTATGTGTTGCTGAACCCAGGTTAGTTACATACAAAACAAGTGTCTTATTTGCTGCTGTACTATCTCTCTGGCCCTAGCTGGATGGACATTTTACATAATGTAATTAAGCCAGCTTTTAATAATCTACACAGCATTACCTAACTAAAATTCAAGGCCAAGAAGGAACATGGCTCAGTGGAAGGAGTGTGTGGCTCAAAAGTTTAGGACCCTGGATTTGATCCCTGATCTATGTAACAGCTCATTAATATACACATGTGTTTGATAATTTTAAAAGGGGGGGATACATGGTATGCTCATTTTAATTTATCTAAATGGTTCAATAATTTAGACAAAGTTTATGGTCTCACTAATAAAAAAATAAAAAAATATTACTACTGATGGGCTGGAACGATAGCACAGTGGGTAGGGTGCTTGTCTTGCATGTTGCTGACCCAGGTTTGATTCCCAGTACCCCATATGGTCTTCTGAGCACTACCAGGAGTGCAGAGCCAGGAGGAACCCCTGACCATAACTGGGTGTGACTCCCCCCAAAATATATTGCTATTACTAACCACTTCTCTGATATTAACACACTTTAAAATAATCTTGTCATGAAACAATTTTTTTAAAAAAATCCTAAGTTATAAGGGTCTTGACCTGAAATTCTGGAGAATAATACTTGTCTTTCTGGCTGCAAGAATTAGCCAAGGATTAAGGGAATCCTTCTGTCCTTCAGTGATGAAAATTATAACAGTTACATAGATGTCTGGCAATTGTGTGTTCCTGAACACTCGTGTGTGTGTGTATGCACACACATACAAGCTAATTTCATTAGAAGTCTGCTGATGTTGCAATTCCTGTCCAGCATCAAATTCTGCAGTCTCTGCATCCTTGCTCCATCTGTGGCTGTAAAGTCCGTCTAGTACATCTTAAAAATTTAGCAAATAGGAGCAAAGGAGATAGTACTGTGGGTAAGATACTTTCTATGTTCACTGCTGACCCTGGTTCAACCATGGGCACAAACATGGTCCCCTGAGCCAGCCAGGAGTGATCTCTGAGCTCAGAGCCAGGAGGAAGACCTAAGCATTGTCAGATGTGACCCTCAACTCAAAACAAAAACAAAATCTAGCCAACAGAAAATCTCATCTCTTCAAAAACTCTAAGTGCATGTTTTTGTCTCACCCTACAAAATTCTAAACAAGCACTGGGGACACTTGCCCAAATGACCCAATAGTTTGATTACGTTCACGAGTCAGAAGAGTTAAATTACTGATGATTTGAAGGCCAAGGGAAATGAAGAAACATTTATGTCATTTGTGACTGCACATTAATCATTTCCTATAAAATCATATTTCTGTGGCTTCTGTATACTTAAAATAACCTTGGGTCTCACCTTTCCCCAGGCGACCTCAGACTCCAAATTGCTAGGCATTCCTTGGACTGCTGATCTCTTTGTCAATTCCATATCTGTAGCTGCCAGCCATTCTGTCAAGGCATTCATTTCCTTTCGCATCTTGCGGGACAATTTTAAGCATTTCTCTAACTGTTGCTTTCTTTCTGTTACCTGCAGAAAAAAATAAATAAAATGCCATTCGCATTACTTTTTCAATTCAGATTATGGTTACAGACAATATATCCAAACTTCCCTATTTTATGACTTCAAAGTAACCTTTACATTGCTTTTTTAAAAGATATTTTGGAAAAATAATGTAATCTGAGTATGAGCAATAAATAAACACTACCGAGGGCAGATGGGATTCTTTCTCCAAATGACCAGGTTTTTTATCATTTTTTCTGGTATTTAAATATCATTTTGTGCCAAATTTTTAATAAATAGAATTGTGGAAGTAAAACTGAAGTTAAGAGATTTCTATGAGGAAGCCTCCAGTCATCTGCCAAATGAATGGAAAGAAAGTTTACAATCTACTTTATGCAAATGAAGCCTGATCATGTGGGCAGGAAATCAAAATGGAGAAAGAATGCTATTTTTCTCAGGAGGTAAGGTGATTTTTGTAATACTAAAGAAAAGACTATTTTATTGTGAATGCATCTTTTAAGTGTCTGACTTTTATACACAAAAACAATGGTCACTTCCTCCCCAAACATACTTTTGCCAACCCCTGGTGGCAAAAATTATTAATGCCTAAGAAAATAGCCACTCCTTTTTTTCTCTTTGGGTCACACGCAACAATAGACAGGGTTTATTCCTGGCTTTGCACTCAGGAATTACTCCTGGACGTGCTAGGAGGACCATATGGGATGCTGGGAATCGAACAGAGGCCGGCTACATGCAAGGCAACTGCCCTACCCTCTATACTACCACTCCAGCCCCTAGTCACTCTCTTTAAAGAAAGAAAAACAATTTGATTTGGATCTCCACCTCCTAGTTCTTAAAATTAAGACCATAAAAAATTAAAATCATCCACATCCTCACACAGAGCGAGCTAATTTAGATATAACTACATCTTTGAAAGCTTGTATATTGATTGATTTAATAATAAACTTACTACAACTTTCTAAGTGGTAGCCAACTCAAACCATAAGTAAAGTAAGTAAAGGCCTTCCCGTTGATCGTCGATTTGCTCGAGCGGGCCCAGTAACGTCTCCATTGGAGACTTTGTTGTTACTGTGTCTGGCATATCAAATACTCTCGGTAGCTTGCCGGGCTCTCCGAGAGGGGCGGAGGAATCGAACTCGGGTCGGCCATGTTGGCCGCTTGTAAGGCGAACGCCCTACCGCTGTGCTATCGCTCCAGCCATAAGTCAAACCATAAGTCAGAAAAATTTCAGTTTTGCAAGGGCAAATTTTATCCATATTTTGGGGGGTGGGGGGCAGAGGGATGGATCACATCCCACTTTCCTAACTGGCATATACTATGCTCAGGATTCACTCCTAGAAATTCTCAGGGGATTTTACATGGTGCCAAGGATCGAACCAGAATCAACTTCTTGCAGGGCAAGTGCCTTACCTCTCTGGCTCTACTTATCACTTTTAGATTATTCTCCTTATGGTCATCACAGTGCTTTGAACAAAACAAGTTTTCACTGAGTAAAACTAAGGTAAAACTAAAGTTAAGACATTTCATGTTAAAACCTCTTGTATGTTAACTAAATGAATGAAAACGATTAAGCCATTAGTTGTAGTACACCAGAAAATTTTACTAGTAACAATTAGATCAGTGTTTCCCCAAGTGAGCTCTACTGCTCCCCAGGGAACTGTGTGAATGATGGAGGGTGGGGAGGGGCAGTAGGAGACTGTTTGCAAGTCAGGGCACTTTGCTCAAAGAAGGTAGATTTCCTGATTAACTTTGGTGATCCAGCCCAAAGAAGACCATCACCACTCTCAACCTCCCTGGTAACCTCCTTAGCAATGGAGTTTTACCTGGGAAGAAGCTTCATGTGGGGGCAGGCTGGAGAAACCCTATAAAGGCCACCTTGAACAAAGGAAGGACACGCATATGCTGCCCGAGCCCATGTGCTGCTTGCGCCCATGTGGCCGAGCACATGTGGTGCCCGAGCACATGTGTCACCCGCATCTTCCCTCTTGAGATGTGTACTTTCATGCTTTTCTGTCTAATGCTAGGATGGGATGTGTGTAGGGGCTCTCTCTCTCTGCCCTTGGAGAAGCCCGTGTTCTCTCTTCAGTATGTTATTCTCTCTCACTCTCTCTCCCTCCATACCTAAAAATCCTACAAATAAAATCTATTTACTTCAAAAAAAAAAAAGGAGAAGGTAGATTTTCAGAAGTGCAACTATGTGACATCCATAAAAGGAGTGGTAGGACAAATAAGTTTGGGAACTTCTGAATTAAATAAAAGTATCTGAACCCTTGCAAAATCCATCTATATTTCATTATTGTGTGACTTGAAAAACCTTTAAAGATCATGGATATAGGGAATCAGAATATTAAATGGAAACGATTTGACATGTGGTCACATAAAGCATGTTAGGCTTAGTGATACTCAGTTGCCTCCCTATGTTAACCTCGACCTTGGGGAAGGACACTTCATTTTCTTTGGTTTACATGACTATTAAGGCAATACCCAACCTATCATATGGACTACTATGAGGGTAAAAACTGGATAATGTATACGTCATTTTATTCCCATCATGCCACTTCAATACTGATTTAGAAAAAACTTCCTATATGGATAGATGAAAATCTTTAATTTCTTTACTATTTTACAGATAGACTATTTCAAAATTAGATACGTTTTTATATTAAGAGGGCTGAAAGGTAAATGCAGATTAGTCCTAACTGTAAGGGAAGGCATGATAACTGAAAAATAACCACAACGCAAGTATAAATATGTTATCATGCTGTGGGAATAATGAACAACAGTGATTATAAATCATTTGTTTACTGATATAAATTAAATGTATAGCAATATTCTTTAATACAATGATACAAGTCAAAATAAAATAAATATTTGCTCATTTTTCAGAAATAGGTTTGAAATCTGTTATATACATATATTCTAATCTCTAAGTATATCTGTATCTATTTGTAGCATATATATGTGTGCATTTATACACACTACTATAAAAGGAAGATTCCATTCATCAACATTAAAAATATACCCAGGGTGAAGGTATAATTAAGAACTTAAAAAGAGACTGAGATACAGTATTGTGGGTTAGGCTCTTGTCTTGTATTGGTCAACCACAGTTCAAATTTCCAGCACCACATATGGTCACCCCAAGTGCCTGAGGAGTGACCTCTGAGTACAGAGCCAGGAGCCTGAGCACAGTTGCATGTGGCCCCCAAACCAAAATAAATTTTAAAGAGTTTAAAAGCTACAATAAAAACACACAAACTGAAAGTTATGCAGGAAATCCAAATAACCAACAAAATCTATTATTTCCCTTAATAGAGGTGTGTGTACTTTTGGAAAAATGTTTGCATGCTGAGGCTGCAAATTCAATTATTCTAATGGATTTTTCCCTTCTATTTTTCCCTTCAGGAAAGGAAAAGCATCTGCCTTCCAACTGCAAGGATTTTATTTGCATGTGGGAGGAGGAAGGAAGTACACCTTATGGTATGTTTCTATTTATAGTTATTTTTGCTATGCACTATTAGTAGAAAAAAACCTCCATATTCAATATTTCAAAGAAATTCTATCTTCTGAGAGATAATGCAATATTGATTTTTATTTATTCTGTTCTGTTTATATCTAACTAAATAAATTGTAATGAAATAGGAGACACTGCCATCTTAAGGAAAATTGAGTTTTATGGGTTTTACTTTTTTTTTTCCCAGGGAAAGGATGCATTTAAAAGAGTGCCACCTGCAGTACGATGCTTTAGCAGTTACTGTTCGTGGACATTTTAAAATGAAACTTGAAAAAAAATGAAATTTCATGTGAATACAAACCCGGTTCTTGAAGTGTATTACCATAACAATAACAATAAAATCATAGCAGAACCATACAGGAAATTCTACTCCTACATACAAAGTGCAGGAATAATAAAAGTTAACAAAATTAAATAAATTTAGATAAGAGACTTTGATTTTTCTCATTAAATTATTAAGCTAAATTCGTGCATTAAAAAACCGACTAGTAAAATTGTGCTCTGTATTTTTCTAAAAGTGCTATAGACTGAACTATATACCCCCCAATTAGTATATTGAACCCCAAATTTCCCCATGTGACTGAATCTGTATATAGGACCTTTAAGGGTTAAAGGGCTGGAGCGATAGCACAGCGGGTAGGGCGTCTGCCTTGCACGCAGCCAACATGGCCGACCCGAGTTCGATTCCTCTGCCCCTCTCGGAGAGCCCGGCATGCTACCGAGAGTATACGATATGCCAGACACAGTAACAACAAAGTCTCCAATGGAGACATTACTGGGCCCGCTCGAGCAAATCGATGATCAACGGGAGGGCCTTTTTTTTAAGGGTTAAAGAGATCTTAAGGGTAGGAGACTAATCCTATAGGACTATGTAGCACTGTAGCACTGTACTCCCGCTATTCATCAATTTGCTTGAAAGGGCACCAGTAATGTCTCCATTGTGAGACTTGTTACTGTTTTTGGCATATTAAATACGCCGCGATAGCTTGCCAGTCTCTGCCATGTGTGTGGGATACTCTTGGGAGCTTGCCGGGATCTCCGAGAGGGGCGGAGGAATCAAACCCGGGTCGGTCATGAGCAAGGCAAATGCCCTACCTGCTGTGCTATTGCTCCAGCCCATAGGACTATGTATTTAGGAGAATTATAATTCTGCCTCTCCTCCATCTCACTATTTTTCCCTTTCTCCTGGCCCTATTTCATGTGAGAATATAGCCAGAAAGCAGCTACAGTTAAAGCAGGAAGTGTGTCCTCACTGGGAACCAAATGGGTGAACATCTTGATCTTGGAAGTCCCAACCTGCAGCACTGTGACAAATAAATTTTTGTTCATCTGGCTAGAGAGTCTGTGGTATCTTATTATGGTAGCCTGAGGAAACTAATATAAAAAAGTAACACATAGACAAGTACAGCCACCTACTTTTTTTTACATAAATTCTAAAGATGATTAAAATAGAAGAGACTACATTTCTTATGAAAAGAATATTATTAATATTTCCTGTTTCCTTTGATTTTATCTAAAAAACACAGTTGCTGAAAGATCTTGGAATATTTAAATGCAAAATGTTTATTCAGGGAAGAAATGTATGACTTGCAGAATATATATAAAGGATGATATTTATACTTATTCCCTTTAGCATTGTTTCAAAATACTTCAGAAATAATTATTTGTTCTATAGTTTTGGTGTATTCTGTCATGCTATTAAGGCAAGAAAGGTTTTTAGTGATCCTTTTCAATCTGCTAAAATTCCATAATTAAGTTCACAATATTGAAAAATAAACATCCAAATATATATTTTCAGGTATAAATAGGGCTTTACATATGTAGAGGGTCATTCACTTCTTAATAATAATGAACTCAACACACTAAGAGTTTACTAATGTCAGTTTTATTGTTTGAAATTCCACATAATTTATTCTCTAATAGGTTCTATCAAATTTCCTCTGTAAAGGCAAAGCTTTGCTATAAATTTTTCAAGGCAAAGTAAAGACCCAAGCAATAATTTGTAGAAGCAACTGGGAAGACTATTTATCTCAAGTTTTTAAGTTTTAAAAAAAAAAGCATAAACATAACGAGCAATAACAAATAATGGTGACTTGCAAATTTTTTATTTGAAAGTAAAACTCATATTTTCTCAGTGACAATTTACAATTAGTAGCTTCAATAACACAACCCTCCAATTATTTTCAGGGAAAGCTATTAGATATATGTCTCTGCATCTCTACTTCCCAAATATGAAAACTTTTATTTGTATAAAATAAAATGACGATCTTATCATTTTTCCAAAATTTTAAGAACCTGAAATATAAAATAAACTCCACTCTACCATCATCTCAATATAGCTCTTTTAGTTCAAATAACATTGCATGTTACATTATATAATGTTATATATATTTTGTATTCATTGTATATATTAGTGCTGGAGTGATCGCACAGTGGGTAAGGCGAGACCCAGCCGACCCAGGTTTGATTCCTCCGCCCCTCTCAGAGATCCCGGCAAGCTATTGAGAGTTTCTCGCCTGCACAGCAAAGCTTGGCAAGCTACCCATGATGTATTCAATATGCCAAACACAGTAACAAGTGTCACAATAGAGACGTTGCTGGGCCTGCTTGAGCAAATCGATGAACAATGGGAGGACAGTGACAGTGACAGTGTATATATTATATATCCACTATATTATATACAGTATTTTATATATATGTGTGTATATATATGCATATACTTTTTCTTTCCTTTGGGATTATGGATTTATCATTCCATATTTGGCAACATAAAGGCAGAGCCATCCCTAAATCACTTCTTGTTTATAGGTGCTCATTTAAAGTTGCATTATTTATAAAAGTATTAAATCATTTATTAGAATAAATTCCAATCGATTTTAAATATTATTATAAAATTTCTTTATAATTTTAATACTGCATAATATCATATGATTTTTTAAACTTTGTTTAGGGGGTGGCCTGTCCCCAGTGGTGCTCTTGGGCTATTTTCATTTCTGTGCTCAGGAAATGCTCCCAGATGTACTTAAGGGAAACAAGTGGTACCTGGAATTCACACTGGGGTTGGATCCAAGCAAGACAAGCATATTATCTCCTGTATTCTCTCTCCCACACTGAGCTTTCATAATTTTTTTAAAAAAGAAATTAATGGCTTTTCCAATAATTTAAATTTGATGAATACACAAAACTTTGCCTAGAAATCTTGAAGAAAATACCATGACAATCCTCGATGTCATCAATTCAACTTTCATGATTCTAATTTCTCCCATTATTTGGATATATCGAATCTCTTAACCGATATGGAATAATTGATTTGAGGAAAGTGAGACATTCAACAGTCTCAAAAAGGAAATGGGACTCTGTAGGAAACATTATTAGTGAGAAAGGCCCTTATGAGAAAGGCCCCCTCACTAATAAGGGGAAAATATAAAAATAATCACAGCCATTGTACTTAAGTAGCTGCCTTCTATATGATTAGCCAGACAAGGTGGATTATACAGAAAAACAGGCTCTGTGTAATCTGTGAACATGCCAACTCATTACACATACGGGAGCCTATGCACAGAATAGCAGCTCCATCGTGCCTAAGCATAAGCAGGTAAATTAGTTAAGAGAACTCATCAGTGTTCATATCATCACAAGTGAATTTGTACATTAAAAAAAAAACAAGTTTAAGGCAACCCATTTTAGAACTATGTAATATGGTCAGACACAACCCCGGGTTTAATCCCCAATATCACATATGGTGCTCCATTCCCACCAAGAATGACCCCGAATACAGAGCCAAGAGTAAGACCTGAGCAGACTTGCTATACATGATTTTTTATTATTTTTTGTTTGTGGGCCTCGCCCAGCAACACTGTGTTTACTCCTGTCTCCGCATGCAGGGAATGACTCCTGGTGATTCTCAGGGGACAATATTGGGTGCTGGGGATCAAACCTGGGTCAGCTACATGCAAGCAAGTGCCTAACTGGCTGTATCTCTTCATCCCCTTGCATATTTTCTGACAAAGACTCAAAGAACATCCTCAATACTATTTTTTTCATTAAAAAAAAAACTGCATGTGGGAGCCAGAGCGATAATACAGTGGCTAAGTCCTTGCAGGCATGTAGCTGACCTGCTTTGGATCCCTGGTATCCCATTTCATTTCCTGTGCACTGCCAGGAGTAATTCCTGAGAATAGAGCCAGGAGTAACTCCTGATGGTGTGGTCCAAAAAAAGCAGAAACCAAATTGCATATGGGAATGTATTTTCATCTATAACTGGTACCTATCCATCAGAGAAAATGGCCAGAATTTCTAAAACAGTAATTGTACATAATTGCTGTTTTTGGCTTTACAAATTATAAACAGAAATTAACCACCGTGAGTAGTTTCAGCACATATGTACTTACCTTTGCTCCCAGCTCATTATAATGCAATTTCAAAGCCGTTATCCTTTCATCAAGCTCTTTAGGGTTTTCTGTCTGTTTCTTCTGAACAATCTGACGTCCAGTTTTGATCACCATTTCCACTTCAGACTTCACTTCACTCAGACTTTTATACAAGTTCTAAGTTAAAATATAAAACACAACCATGTTACATTAACTTATACAGTTAGAGCAGTTTAAAGATCTCCCTGACTGCCATTTCATCTTTCCTATTTTCATAGAATAGCATGTGCAGCTGTGGTCCAGAGCTAGTCCTTGCATTTTCTGTTGACTTAACTTTTCTAGACCTCATTCTGTTTGTGGACACATATACAGATATTTTGCTGCGATTCTTACTAAGGTTAAGAGTATATCATAACTATATTAAGTTCTTTAATACACGTTTTAAGATTATTTCTAAAAGGTGCATGAATTCCCTTTTAAATGTTAGACTTGGCCTCTAGCTCTAAAATTTGAAAATTTTCATTTGACTCATTCACCAGCTATTTACTGAGTGTCTGTTATGAATCAGATCATATCTGAGTCATTAGAGAATCTATGATAGACAAGAAATATATATTCATTCACTGTTGCTTACTTGAGTCGATGGAAGGCTTCTAATGTCAAAATTATGTTATCAATATATGTCTTATACAAGAAAGGTGATTAAAAATAGGCCAATTTGGTTAAAAATTTGTCAATAGGAATTGTTCCTTAAATATAGACAGATATGAAATATTGAAACCATACATACAGCACAACTATAAATACAAATATTTCTCCACAAAAATACATATAGCAAAGTCTCATCAAACTAGTCATAGTTACTTTCCTGAAAAATCTGTACAAGTTTCCATGTTTGTGAGCATGCATGCATGGAGGATGTGTAAATGCCTGTATACATTAATCCATGATGGTTTAAATAATACACAGCTGCTTTAGTCTCTTGGTTTTAAGTCTGAGAAACAAGTACTTATTCAATTAGTACTGAGAGAAAGTTTTATTCACAGTTAGCATGGGAAAGTTTATTTTTGGAATTACAATGAAACAAGGTTATAAAAATAAAGATAATACAGCAGGTAGCCTTGCACATGGCAGGCTTGGGTTTAATCTCTGGCATCTGTATTTTCCCCAGAGCACTACCTGAACGCAGTGTCTAGAGTAAAAACCCTGAGCATCACTAGGTAAGACCCAAAGCCCAACCCACCAAATTAAAATCATTAGTTAGCACACTGAGACCAATTTTGATTTTTTTAACTTCTGAAACAATATATTTGTACCACAAAACAAGCAAATCTATAACTATGAGGTTCAAGTTATCAACTAAACTTAAAAACGTTCCTGTCAAGGAAATAAGTCTGGGGACAGAAAGGAAACTGAGGAAGGATGTTGACACTGGTGATGCAATAGGTGTTATATTGTATAACTGAATCTCATCCATGCATATTGCAGACCTGAATACCAACTTTGGTATTGTATACCTGAATCTCAATATTGTGAACCCTGCATACCTGAATCTCAACTATGAATAATTTTGTAAATCCAAATACCTCAATAGAAAAATAACTCTCAAAGAATTTACTCTTTAGTGTTAAAAAATAACACAATGGTTCATGGTACTGACTGAATGAATTAATGCTTTCTTTTTTCAATAAGCAGAGAAAATATCATTAAAGAAGGTATATATTTTTTACATTTACTTGTGTTTGTGCTAGTAAGACATTCAATAAATGAAAATTACATAGAGCCAGGAGACAGTGAAGAGTATAGATCACAAGTGCCAAACTCGGTTTGATGCTCAGAACCATGTGGTCCCCCGAGCGTCACTGGGTGCGTCTCTGCAGGCCTCAAGCACCTCGAAGTGACCTGGGAAATATCAGGAACTATGGGACCCAAGCAGCATTACTTCCTCGGGCCTTTAAAATAAACCAGTAGCCTGGTTGGCTAAAAATCCCCTGTGGAGTCTCAGGCTTCTTGAGCACAGTTCAGAAGACCCAAGAGAAATTAAAGAAAAACATTCCTGATGGAAAGCTAATGATATATACATACAGATATAACAGAACTTAAGAACTAAAAAATATAAGTAGGGAAGTTTAAAGAAAAAAATATTCACACATAATGTCTATATAAATAGGTTCTTATATTTTAGCCACAACCAGAATCAATCTAAATGAGGGGCTTGGGGTAGTGCCCGTGTACTGTGTAATGGCATGTTCACAGCTAGAAGAAACAATCACCTTCATTACAGTCTTCAGCTCAAAAGCAACGGACAGCTCTCCCTTTACAAATACATTTATTTCTGGCTGTGTACTTGGGTGAATCTGCTTTCAGTTATTTTCTGAAAATGTAAGATTATTTACATTCCCATGGTATCAGCTAATAACTATTATCAAAACTTCTGGAATTGTTATTGTTGAAGTAATAGCTATTACTGATGCTTCCTAATTAAAATATGCCCATTCATGATTGCCTCCCTTAAAAGTATATCCCAGATACCCTAAAAAAAGGAGATTTCTTGTCTATGTTCTGCTGTGTTTGAAGAATTAGAGCCTCAAAAGAAATCCCTAAGAATTAAATGGCTATTATTGTCTTGAATAGTTTTGTCTCTCAACTAAACTATTAACATTAACATTTATTCTTAACTTAATATAGTATATGCATTTCATTTCTTTTCATTTGGGGTGAAGAAATAGTAGAGTGGGTAAGGTACTCACTTTGCTTGCAATTAACCTGGGTATGAAACGTGACACCATATACGATACCCTGAGCATTGCCAGGAGTGATCTCTGAACAGAGCCAGAAGCCCTGACATTACCAGGTGTGGTTCAACCTCTATCCCTCCAAAAAGCCCAAAACAAAAATCTTTGTTTTCCTTTTACTAAAGGGGATCACCAAATAATTCTTAGTGAGGAAAGTCAGAGGACAGATGCTAATCCATCACTTGAAATACATACCACACAATGATTCAATTGTGACTGTACTACTTCCTGTTCCACACTCTCAATTTCCAATGCAGGCAAGTGTGTCTTCACCTCATCTAAAATCATCTTACTTTCTTGTAGACGCTGTTCAAAATTGGCTGGCTTCTGGAATAAGCGAAACTTCAAGGAAACATCTTGAAATTGTTTCTGGAAAGAGAATTCAAGAAGGCGCTGATTAAAATTTGCCTTTCAAACAATAACCATTCACATTCTTACTAAGATATTTTCCTTTAGTTATTAAGACAGACTGGGGTAAAAAAATCGAAATAAAGCAATTTTCTTCATTTTTCCAATACAGATAATACATTTATTTAAAAAGACGTAGCACTTGTCCTTGACTGTAGTACCAAAAAAAGGTAATATTTTGGCTCTATTAAAATTAATTCCAAGGGGCCAGAGTGATGGTACAGGAGATAAGGCAATTGCCTTGCATGCAAGTGTCGGCTGAAATCCTGGTTGTGATCCCTGGTGCCACATGGGTCCTCAGAGAAATGCCAGGGGTCACTCCTAAGCACAGAGGCAGGAATAGCCTTTTAAAATGTCCTGGGATGTCCCAAACCCTTCCCAAATTAATCTTCCTGAAAATAAATATGATATATACACATATGTATCATATTATAGGTTCTAAATAGCATTCTTTATTCCAATTTTGCTAAATAATCTACTTTTCTGCGACAAAGATTTTTTTGTTGAATCATCATTAATTACAAAGTTACAAAATTATTTATGATTGGGTTACAGGCATACACTATTCTAACACCAATCCCATCACCATTGTCCATTCCCCTTCATGAATGTCCAAGGTTCCCATCCAGTCCTCAACCTGATTCTATCGCAGGTCCCATTCCCTTTTTCCCTTTTAGGCATTGTGGTTTACAATAATGTTATCGTTAGTGTCATGCATATCATGTTCCTTCTTTTCACTACTCTATCCTCATCCAGAGTTACCACTTCTCTCTATCATTGTCTTACTGGTCCTTTTCCTGATCTCCCCCCTCACACATCCACCCAGTTGCAAGTTTTCCTGCTCGTCATTTCCATTGCCACCTGACATGAGTTATATATCTATATATATAGATATATATAGATATATATATCTATATATATATATCCCTATTATATTCCTTTATATTTTAAAATGAGTGCAATCATCCTGCATCTGTCCCTTTGGTATATACGATGATTTATATCCAGATCTAACAAACTGCTCTTGGAAGCCATACCTGTACCAAATCAATGTGAGATAACACCATTTGGGAAGTCTCCTTTTCCTGGTTATGCTTCTTCATTTCTTCTAAACTGATCTCATGACTTGTCAAGTCCGACTGGATTTTCTGTTGGAAGGATAGCATTATCAGTCAGCATGCTTGACAAACTTTGGTAAAGAAAAACTCACTTTCCTAGAAAATTTAAAAACTACAAATCATCTGCTGTAATACACTCTTAAAATGACAATAAACATTTTCACTTATCAAACATTATCAAAACTTAAATGACTTATCCCATTCCTTTTGAGATTAATAAAAGAAAGACCGCCCTTTGCCAACTACAAGATCAAGATGACTGCCCTCCGACGTCCTGATGGATCTATTACATCTTTCAGAAGGGCAATGAAGAATATTATCCATGACTTCTACTCAGATCTCTTTGATAGCCATGTCCACCTGCCCATATACCAAATTCCGTAGGATGGATATGTCGTTCCCAATGTTCTTCCCTTCCAAAATCCGACACGCCATTTCATCAGTAAGAAGCTAACAGTACCCGGCCCATACAAAGTCAGACCCAAACACCTGAAGAACCTGCCATCAGTACTCATCAATACACTGACTCAGCTCTTCACACGCTACCTGTCTGAATGCAAGGTTCCATCCCAGTGGAAAACCAGTAGGATTGTACTACTGTACAAGAAGGGAGACATCCACGACATTGGCAACTATTGCCCAATCTGCCTGGGTGGAGTTGAGGAATGTTGATGGTGTTCAGGGCTTTATCCTTGCTTTGTGCTCAAGAATCATAACTTATGGTGTCAGAGGTGACCGCATGTGATACCAGCAGGGATAGAACCAGGCTGGGGCATATGGAAGGCAAGCACCCACTATACTATCTCTCTGATGCTCAGTAGTGATCTTAATGCTGTCATTCTGTGAAATACTTAAGTTACATTTTAGGGAACCTAGTGATTTAGGAAAAGGAGGTGAACATCAACTGAGAATGTTTTTCCCATGACACTTTGATTTTTAAAGAACTATAAAATATTTCTAACTACTCTTATACTGAGCATTGATATTTTTCACATGTTTTCTTCAAAAGTCTATTTGGATAAGACAAGGACAAGTCTAAGCCAGTTTGTGATAAGCGAAATACTGAAGTATGTGGAAAGAAAAATAATGAATGCATTTATTTCTTTCTGCCAGATACAGCAAAATGCAGCTTGTGGTTCAGATTATTCTAAGAAAATGGATTAACTTTTGCCATAGTAGCCGTAGCATATTCATGCAAAAACAATTTTTATAATGCATATTAGTCACAACCAAATTTACATCAATTGGAACAATTCTAAATCATTAGATAATGACTGTTTGCTTAGCAGTCACTGAAGAAACCTATAGTCCTGCATTGAATAGTGACAGTTAATTCTAAATTAGTTACAAATAGTGACAATGGTCATAATTAGAAGTGGATTAAGTAGTGAAGTATTTGTTTATAATACAAAGTTATTAATGTACAGATAAAACTTAAGATTTTCCCTTAGCATATCTAGCAATTAAAAAGGCAAAATATCATGATTTGCTTAAATAAGTTTTTAAAAACTCTGGTTTAAAGATTTAAAAAAGAGCCAAGACTCAGACAAATGAACTGTTATAACTAAAAAAGTAATTGCTTATATTATGACCTCGCATCATGAATAGAGGTAACATTCTTGAACCACAGAAACTAAGCATTGAGAATCCATGTACAAAAAATAGCTTTTACAGTTATAAGTATTAAAATTTTAATAAAATACATATAATTTAATGGAAATATGTAGGGTTCAGTGATATTTATACAGGGGACATCAGTACATATCACATGAAAAGTGATGGTTTGGGGAACACACCAAGTGGTCCTTGGGGACTATTTCTGTCTCTGAGTGGAGAAGTGAATCCTGGAGGCCATAGTGTGGTACCAGAAATCTGAAGGGCTAGCCTTCTATAAGGAAGGAACCTTACCTCCCATACTATCTCTCCAGAGAAACAATGATCATGTATAAGTAGAACTTTCAACAGTTTATAAGCATTTATGAAAGCATGACTCTGGAACTTAACCAGATGATACCACAACCATGGACAACATTTGTGCCCATTAAGTAATAAGATTATTTCTCAGAATTGACAGGACAAAGTCTGGTCAAGTCTAGGAAATTTGGAACTGATTTGTGTATCCTAGGAGATTAGCCTTGTAACATTCCATGACCTCAGTTTCAACTGCCAAATGCCAAAGATCCATTAAAGGAGAGAGAAGGAAAAAGCTGATGTGCATGAAAAGTATTTGAAACACAAATATTGCTGTCTCTTAATCATAGGATGCAGTAGATGGCAATTTTTATTCATTTATTTATTTAAATTTTTATTAGTGAAACATCATGAGGTATAGTTGTAGACTTACAAATTTTTGTGCTTGGGATTCAGTTATACAATGATCCAGTACCCATTCTTCCACCAGTGCCCATTCTCTAGATGGAAATTTTTAAAGCTGACTGCCAGAACAGTTCCCCGAGCACCTGCTTCTCCAACTACACTTCAACAAATAAATGCTATTTTCTTACCCTTTTAAATCTAGGTTAGCCTACTGACTACCATGTCCAGTAAAACAGGGCAAAAGTGGTGGTCTGCCCAAAATGAGTAGAGGACTTAATTCAGCTATTAATTGCCACTTTAGTGGAACATTCACACTTAGTGTCACCAGTGGGGGCTGGAGAGATTGGACAGCGAGCAGACCACTTGTCTTGCATACAGCCAACCTGGATTTAATTCCCGGCACCACATATGTTCCCTAAGCCCTATCAAAAGTGATGTCTGAAGTGATGCCTGAATGCAGAGTCAGGAATGAGCCCTGAGTAATGCCAGGCGTTCTCTGCCCCCCTCCAAAGAAAAAAAGAAAAAAGAAAAGAAATGACAGTGGAGAGTCATTTTTTCAGAAAAGCCAAAAGAGATAAGTATAAATGTGTGTACATTAGCTGCTTCATGAACTTTACAGCCGGGATAGACTCTGCGGCTGGTCAGAGCAGAAGTTGGGTTGTCAAAGGCTGACACTGCAGAAGAATAAGGAAGTCAATTTCCAGACACCATTATCGTAGTTTCAAAGACTTTCATTTCTTCACAGAAGGAAGTGGAGTCGGTAATATTTGAACACACTTTAAGGTGATGAGAAAGAAACTAACGGAAGAAGTAATTTTTTGAAAACTGTAAATAATAAGGGGAAAGGAGAAGAGAATACGGCAAAAGGGATTAAGTAGCCTATGCTGATAGATTTAAACTAGACTTCTGATAGGAAACATATAGAGAATGTTTGGGGGTTGGTTCTGGGGTTGGCAATTGGGGGTTGGGGCAACACCTGGCAGCGCTCAGGGTTCTATCCTGGCCCTGTGCTCAAGGATCACTCCTGGTGGGTCTTAGAAATCTCTAAGGACTGCCTGGAACTGAACTAGGGTCATTGCGTGCAACACAAGTGCCTTAGCCTCTGCACTATCCCTCCAACGCCAACATAGTGTGGTATATACAGATGACGCTTTGGACATCTACATTGCTGAAAGTTACCTAATAATTATAAACTAGTGTTACTTTCATATGAAAAGTAATATAAAATGGGGTGAGGGACAAAGTTTAATAAACAAGGTCTGTGCCCAACGCTGAGTTTTCCTTTGTAAGAACAAAACGTTATATTCCTTTTCTTTCAACAATGGGTATGGCAGATGAACCAGAGCACATTAAAAAAAATCTGCAAAGCAGAAATTTATGTACTATGACAGAAAACCAAATGCTTTGAAATAAAAGGGAAAGGAAATATCAAGATCTACTATGCTGTCTGCTTTTTTTTTAAAAAAAATTAACAAATGGCAATATTTAAGATACATGTGGCTGGGAGAGTTTCTGGAGAAGTAGAGCATAGAACCACAGACTGATCGGCTATCTCTGAGGGAGATAGCACAGGGGTGAAGTCATATGCCTTACATGTTGTACAAACTGGTAATATATGCTCCTGCAAGCATCACCGGGTGATGCCCTGGAGACTGCAGGACCTCAACCTCAAGGCCCTGAGCTTTGCTGGGCTGTCCTGGGTCACCCCAGCACTCCAGGGCCTGAGCAGCACCCACCACATCCTCCAGCCTTGCACTGAAACACTACCCTGGTTGTTGAGACAATGCATAAGGGGCCCCCAGGCCTCCTAAGAACCACTTCAGAGAACTCCCCCTTTCGGAAAAAAGAAAATAGTCTCTCATTTCAGGATGTAGGAACCCCAGGAGCCAGATTAGGTTTGGAGCATATAGTATGCATGTATAGTTTCCTTTAAAAATTGTTTTTTCTTCTGGTTGCAGTAATATAGATCCAATGTGAAAGTTAACATACCTATACCCCCACTGAAGTACCATAAACCCTCCACCGCAGTCATTCCACTCCCTGGCATGCATGCACAGTCTTTGGAAGCAAGGACTAGATGTGGATAGAGTAGAATTATGAGAGCGGGATTTACTGTGAGGCTAAAGTTCTTTACAGGTCAGGGCCCTTTGCTTGCAAAAGATTCTTTGTAAGTGCTCACACAATTTTCCTCCTTTGATTGTATAACTGTGTTTTTCCATTAAGAGAAAACTGCTTGACTCCACAAAATTACTTCTAAATTTATGTTGAAAATAAAGGATTAAACATGTATCTCTAGGATAGAAATTAAACAATTTTTATTTTAGTATATAGTGTGATATATAAGTTGGATATGGTTCTTTGCTCAAATTATTTTTTGCTCCTCTGAAAAGAGTAAGTGACACAATTAGATTTGGGGAAAACTATAATATACTTTATAAATATATTTACTAATGATTATTTCATTCATTATTAAAATTCTAAATTAAAATCAGATCTATATGTCCAATTGATTCTATTTTCAGGTTAGTTTACATTTATCCAAACATTTGTCACAAATAATATTTATTATTTTTCACTGATAATTCAAATCATTATATATGTATGTAACTTTACTCTAGACAGAATTATTGTGGGACCGACAAGAAATTTGGTTTAAATAAGAGTTAATGAAAACTCGTCACTTTAAAAAACCCTTCTAATAAAACAACAAAAAC